TTGACAGGGTAGATGTTGAGAAGATATTCCTTCTCGTATGACCAGTAGAGGATGTTGGTACAGAATAAGAAGATACTCATTTAAGACTATGATGTGAAGGAATCTTGTTTTTCAGAGTATTAAATGCCTGGAAATCTGAGAATCCAGAAAACTGTGTCAAACCTCTCAGAGTCTTATACATTTCAATATCTGTTGATATTATACTTCTTATTGAAATGTACATGATTCCGAGGGGTTTGACACTGAATGTATTTAAAGAGGTATTGCAATTTTGCAATATCCTTGATATTGCAAAAAGCTATGAAGTTCTGACATGAAAAAGAAGTTGAGTCCTCAGTTACAGAATAAAATTGCAGAGCTGGCTTGAGAGGGCGAAAGGCATGCTCTTGCTCCAATTTGTTATATTCTTATGTATTTATTATTGGGCAGAAAAATAACTGTTGATATTAAATTGTATTTGTTATGTGTTATGGCTCCAGAAGTTCAAAATGATCATGCTTTTCGACTCAAAATGCTGCAGCTTCATGAAGTGTACTTATGCTCTCGAGATGGTTAGTGAACTAATGCATCAATGCACTGTAATTGCATGCAAAGCAAGAGTAAATGCAGTACTCTGGATATGCATTGAAAAGGAATTCATGCCAAGCTATTTATGAAGAATACCGTACTGTGATATAGCATTGACAAACAAAATTCATTCAGGGAATGAACACAGCAGGCTAAGCAGCATCATAGGTGTTCATCCAGGCCTGCACCTTGTTGTCTTGGATTCTCCAGCATCTGCAGTTCCTACTGTCTCATCTTTCATTCAGGGAATGTTTGCTTCGCTAGGATTGCCAGCATTTATTGTCCATTTCTAGTTGCAGTTGAGGAGGTGGTAGTGAGCTGCCTTCTTGAACTACTGCAGTCCATTTGATGTAGGTACACTCACAATGCTAATAGGGAGGTAGTTGTAGGATTGTAACCCATTCAGTGTGTGTATGGTCACATATTTCCAAGTCAGGATGGTGAGTGCCTTGGGGAAGAATTTGCAGGTCATGGTGTTTCCACTATCTGCTGCCCTTGTCCTTCTGGGTGATAGTGTTCATGGTTTTGGAAGGTGCTGCTAAAGAGCCTTGGTGATTTCAATAATACGTTTTGTAGATGTTACACGGTGCTGCTATTGAGTGTCAGTGGTAGAGTGAGTTGATGTTTTGTGAATATGGTACCAGTAAAGTTGGCTGTGTTGTTCTGGTTGGTGTCAAGCTTCTTCTGTTTTTGGAACTGCACTCATCCAGAATGCATTAGTCCAACAACCATCAAATGTATTCCATCACATTCCTGACTTTTTTTCTTGTAGATGGTGGAAAGATTTTCGGGGAGTCAGGAGGTGCCTTACTTGCTATAGGATTGCCAGCCTCTTGGCTGGCGTAGCCACAGTATTTATATGTCCAATTCACTTTCTGGTCAATGGTAACTTGCAGGATAATGATAATGGGTGATTCAGTGATGGAATGCCATTGAATGACAAGGATAAATGCTAGATGCTCACTTGTCATTGCCTAGCACTTGTGTGGTACGAATATTACTTACCATTGCATAGATGTAACTGAATGATGTGACAAACATTAGCCCATGGAAAATTTGAAACAGAGTGTCAGTACATTTGTCACTTTGGGTCAATAAAACATTCACTGGCTTGGGCAATGAATTTTAAAAAATGGTGCAGTGAAAACAGTGCTACTTATATCCTTGGGACAATTGAAAATGATTCAAAACCGATGAATTACTTATGAAGTGTGGTAGTTGTTATTTAGGCCACAAATTTATTGACAGCAAAGCCCCTGGGTGCATTTGAAGTAGACCTAGCGTAATCTGTTGTGGTAATGTTAGTTGAGTTGAATTGTTTGTCAAGGCACCAGGATATTTCTCCAGCCCTTCCCCTCCCCCAACCACCTGTTCTTTGAATTGGGCCATGAGACCTGATTAAGCAGACAGGGACTCAATTTAATGTTTATTCAAAATAAATAATCTTAGACAATGCAGCAATTTCAAAAGTGCAGTGATGTGTTTGCCTCGATTATGTGCTTAAGTTTTTAAATGAGGTTGAACCCGTGACCATGTGACTCAGATGAAAGCGAATCACTGGAGAGCAAACATGATATTGGGTCAGGTTTGCCGATAGAAATTATGTGAAACTTCATAATGCAGTAATTAAACTTCAGGCATGTTGAGTGCAATCAGGTCACCAGATGTTGCAAGTATTGGAAATTGTTGTTGGAAAATGTGCAGAGAAGTGCAAAAGGAATGAGCCTATGTGCAAATTGAACAAGTGGTAATGGACCATTCAAGTAGAAAGAAAAGACTCAGGTGGAATTTTATTAATGTATATAAAGTATTAAATGGCATAGATAAGGTGCACACACAGTATAACTCTTAAGGTCAGTCATACCAGTCGAAAAAAATAAATCAGTGAAGTAGAAATTTTAAATATCTTGGAGAAATAAACTACTTCATACAGAGAGCAGTAAGCATTTGGAATGATCAACTGGGTGAGAAAGTAGAATCAGTGACATTAGGGCAGTAGTTTTTAACTTAACACTGGACCTTAAAAATAGCATATGTCAGGCAGCAATATAGCGTGCCCAGTTACCCAATTTATTTTGTTCCATTTGACCTACAGTTCCAGCTTAATGCTTTGAAAGTAATTTGAAAATTATCCAGTATAAAGAAATTAAATCAGTGACCATGTTTATTTCTCATTTTACTTACAACAGAGCTGTAATGAGGAAGAGGAACTCAGAGTTTGATGGAAACATTCAGTTTTGGTCTTGCCCATCTACCTGTTAAAGCAAGTCCAAATTAACACAGTGCTGCATCCTGGCATAACGTTTTGATCTAGCACTTAAGCCATTTAGAAATAGGTTTTCTTTCTCTGAATTGGAAATAGAATTGAAAAAGCATCTCTAGGAATCTTTCCTTTGATGCTATTCACGAAGTTATATTCATTCTTGATTGCTGGCCATGATGCCCTGTTTAGTATTACTGTGCTCTGTTAGTTTTTGCTATAAAGCTCAGTTAACAGCTGGACCTGATAGGTCAGATTATCAAAGATGTTCATTTTTAAATTGAGATGCAACTATATGAAAAGGTGTCAATTAGAGGACTGGAACAGAGAAAATGTAAATCATGCAGCAAAGTTGTTGAAGTGTTCAGACATGAGATGGATTGAACACACACTTGGGTGCTGCAACGTTATGAATAAAGATGCAAAACTGAGCTGATAGTTGGCTTTATAATGGTGCTCACAAATTTAGCGTAAATTTAATCTTGGCATCTTTATTTGTTTTTTCTATTCAGCATCTGGCTCATTTTAATTTATTTCATATACCACTTCAATTTAGAAATTGGAGACATTCTGTGATGTAATGTTTACTTTAATGGCCTCTGTTTTGAATTCTTGCAAATCCCACTGCAGGGAGGATTTAGAGATTGTTAGCAAATGGTAGCAAGTTCATAACTGTTCAGAACCTGTGGGTATTTCTGACAATATTTTCTCACTTCTACATGTTTGGTCAAGGCTAGGCAGGACAGCAGCATGAGCAAAAAAATAGCCCTCATAACCAATATTGCTGGTACTGTTAATTCATCTTTGTTACACTTTCCTTACCATAAAGAATTAAATCCACACCTCATGATGTGATTTAATATGGAAATAGGCCACTCAGCCTATAGAGCATGCTTTCGCAGGTATGGAAATTTTCAGCTAAACGCCCGGATGACAAAGCCATTGTTTCTGCTGCCTGTCACACACTTCGTTCCCTCACCATCAACTCCATCCCTTTCCCTGTCAGCTATAGAGGGCTGAACTAGACTGGTCAGTTCCTTGGTGTTTGACTCTGCAGTGAACTTTGGACCACGTACCAGCTTCATCACCAAGAATGCGGATTTCCACCTCTGCAACATCACCTACCTCCAATTTTGCTTCAGCTCATCTTTCAAAAACCCCATCCATGCCTTGTTACCCTGGAGTTTAAATATTCAAGTGCTGATCTAGCCAGTCTCCAATCTTCCACCTTCTATAAATTGAAATTTGTCCAAAACTCTATCTATCTTTAATCAGTCTAAAATGTCACTGATTCTCAACCGCTACCAGACAGAAATTTAATTTCCAGACCAGTAGCCAATTCAGAAGCTGGCTATCAGGACTTTAATCCTTTTAGCAGTTGAAACAAACCAGCTTTTGATGGATAAGCAGAGTAAGGCTGAACAGTTGTGGAATTTTTAAACTACATTCAAACTAAAACCTGTTCTTTCATAATGAACCTGGAGAAAGAGGGAAGTTGTCATAAAACCTATTTGCGTGGACCTCTGAATAAGAAAGGCACAATAGATTGCGTGATATAGGTATTTGATTGCCATTACAAGTGAGCAAAAGTTTAAATTGTGCTCGATATTTTACAAAATGATTGAACGCACTAATGTTTTGAAAGCCTCCGAGAAGTAAAACACTCCTCAAATGGGAGATCTTCTAAAGCTAGCTTTGAACCTAAAACAAAAGCATGAATGTGGCTTTCGAATTCAAGTGTCAGATAGGTCAAAAGGTGAGCTTGACCTGCCCACAGGAACCTGGATTTAATGATTATCAAAAAGATCTCTCCAATCAGTGAGACCCTGATTGAACAAAACAGAACTAAACCTAGAGCAAATAAGTTATTCCACTTGGTGAACTAAAGAATAACTCTGCTGTCGAACTTTGGAGATATTCTTAGCACCCAGTCCATTCCATTTAAAAATAACTTTGCTGTTTGACCTCAAAGCTGTGCTCTGAAGAATAAGGTCCATTCCTCAATTATTTATATGCAGAGAATGCCTTTTGTTGTGATGAGCACACGAGCTAAGCCTGTTACTTGGATCTTTACTTGAATAAATTCACGTCTGCTGAGTTTGCTGATTTTTTTTGGAAAAGTTTTCATTGTTACTTTGTCTTTTCTGATTGAAAACTTATCTTATTTTTACAGTATGTGTTCTATATGTACAAGGAATTGAGACTATACAGTGGAGAGAGGTAAGAAAGAACTTTCTCCTTCAGTTAAAATATTTTGTGTATAAAACTGCTCTTGTCTGATTGGATTATATCTCAATTACATTTACGATTTTGTTACTTTTATCGTGTCTCCCATGCTTCTAAGTTTCTTCCAGTTGTCTATACGGCACTGATATACTTGTGCTGTCTTTCACTAAATGATTAATGGCCACTATCTGTAAACTGGACCTCAGAATAGATGAAAACAAATGGAAACTTAACATTTATCAAAATATTTCAATCAAAACTATTATTTAACGTTGAATAAACTTCTGAATGAATTGGGATTTGAATTTTTAATACCTGGATTACATGATATGAATTTTGTAGAATCAGTATAGCTAAATTTGATAAATAATCCTTGTATTTACTTTAAACTTTCTGAATTTTATCAGGTGAAATGTTTTTGTTGAGACTTTTAGAACTGTAGTCAAACTTTCCACAGCAGGCTGGGTTCGTAATCAACTTAGTCACTGACCTGGAGTCCAACTTGTGACTTTTGTCTTGCTAAGCTGATATTGTAGCTTCCATTTTTTTATCTGTAATGTATTAAAGGATATTTAGTAGTTCAGGTGGTCTTATAGCTTTAAATTAAGTGTTAATTTAAGAATGTGCCAACAAAACAACATTCACTTGTAGAGCATTACCTTGCCATGACTAGCAGAATGATGTTTATCTATCTTGGTTGCCAAATACATAGCCAGTTTTCTACAAGTTCTAGCATTATTTAAAGGTGCTAAGTTGTCAGCAGTGTTTAACCTTATATATCTTATCACTTTTTTTAACATTTACATTATTACTTTAATTTAAGTGAACAGTGCAAGTAATGCTAAGCAGTGGGCTCACATGATCCACACAGACTGAATTTAAGTTCCTCGTGGGACCTAGGGCAAGAGAAAGAGTTGTAATTATTCCAATCATTTTAATTAGATGATAGATTCATGACTAAAACATGTGATCTTGAGTTTGAATGGGCTAAAGGACTTAGAAAAACATGAGATATAGATGGAAAACAATTTAAAGAGAAGATAAAATGTAAGAAGAAGGCAGAATGAATAATAAAAAAAACTGCCTGGATCAGAGTGGAACTTATTTGCAAAAGGATAAATGACCAGTTGGAAAATCGCCAGAGACAATGAATTGACCGGCAATCAATAAATTGAAATAAATAGAACAACTGAGATAATGCCGGAACAAAAGCCTTGAAAACTAGTGTGGATATGTAATTAAATAACTTTTTATTAAATATCATATCTTTTATTTTGTGAAGTAAGATGTGTAATTTATCTATATTTTAATATAATTTTTAGAATTTGTGTTTGAACTAATGGCATGTTGGTTTGGTCTATGTGTCTGAAAGGGTATAAGGATTAACTTGTAACCTTTCTGTAATGATAATAATTTCTTTTAAAACAGCAACATAGAAACATAGAAAGTAGGTGCAGGAGTAGGCCATTCAGCCCCTCCAGTCTGCACTACCATTCAATACGATCGTGGCAGATCATGCAATTTCAGTATCTCATTCCCACTTTCTCTCCACACCCTGTGATTCCTTTAGATACAAGGGCCATGTCCAACTCTCTCTTGGATATACCTAATGAACTGGCCCCAACAGCTTTCTGTGGGAGAGAATTCCACAGGTTCAACACTCTCTGAGTGAAGAAATCCTTCCTTATCTCAATCCTGAATGGCTTACCCCTTATTCTTAGACTATGACCCCTAGTTCTGGACTTCCTTAACATCGGGAATGTTCTTCTGCATCTAGCCTGTTCAGTGCCATCAGGATTTTATATGTTTCTGTGAGATCCCCCCTCATTCTTCTAAATTCCAGTGAGTACAAGTTCAGTTCTTCCAGTCTTTATTCATATGTCAATCCTGCCAACCCGGGAATCAATCTGATGAAAATTTGCTGAGCTCCCTCAATAACAAGAATGTCCTTCCTTAGACTAGAAGACCAAAACTGCACACAATACTAAAGGCGTGGCATTACCAATGCCTTCTATAACTGTAGTAAGGCATCACTACTCATATACTTCCTGAAGAGTAATGGTGTTTTGTTTTCATTGGGCTAGCTTTATAAGCGAACAAAGTAAACAGTTGTGCATTAGACTTTTGGTTTAGAAGGTCAGGGATATAGTTCGCAGGAGTCTTGGATGAAGCTGGATATGTATAACAGTAGCTCCTGGTGAAAGGAAATGGTTTAGAACTATTAGAAAACAGATTCCCTCAATGTAAGCAGTTTTGTTTGAAAGGTCTAGACCAGAAGTACTTAATTACAACCCTGAAGGAATTATTTCAAGCTGAGATAGTTTAAGCTCAGTTGTATGAAGGCTCAAGGAAGAAACTATCAGCCTCTGATAAAGGGGAATTGAAGCCACAGTTAAATTAAGTCTGGTAGATGTGAAGGAAAAGAAAATTCTTTCATGTGGACACTGTAAAGGAGTGCTGTTGGGAATAATAGAATTGCAGTTGTCATGTGTTTTGATAACATTAAACTTGTTTTATATAAATAGTTTTTCCTTCTATTTTATCTTCATTTATTTTGTGTTCCCCCACAGGGATTGGTTCTGGGTCCACCTTTATTTGTCATTTATGTAAATGATTTGGATGAGAATGTTGAAGGCATGGTTAGTAAGTTTGTGGATAGCACCAGCATTGGTGGCATTGTAGACAGTGAGCAAGGTTTTCAAAGATTACAAAGGGATCTTGATCAAATGGGTCAATGGGCTGAAAAATGGTGGATAGAATTCAATCTGGATAAATGCAAGATATTGCATTTTGGTACAACAAACAAGGGAAGGGCTTATACAATTGATGGTAGTGTTGTAAGACAGAGGCACCTAGGGGTTTGTGTCACATATAGACAGGGTGGTTAAAAAGGTGTTTGGCATACTTGCCTTCATTGCTTAGTCCTTTGACTGTAGGAGTTGGGAAGTCATGTTGAGGTTGTACATTGGTGAGGCCTCACCTGGAATACTGTGTCCAGTTCTAGGTGCCCAGTTATAGGAAGGATATTATCAAGCTGGAGAGGGTTCAGAAGAGATTTACCAGGATGTTGCCAGGTGTGGAAGGTTTAAGTTATGAAGAAAGGTTGGATAGGCTGGGACTTTTTTCACAGGACCGTAAGAGGTTAAGAGGCGACCTGATAGAAGTTCAAAAAATAATGAGAGGTATAGATAGAGTTAATGGTAGTTGTCTTTTCCCTTGGATGGGGGATTTCAAGACGAGGGGGCACATTTTTAAGGTTAGAGGAGAGAGATTTAAAAACGTTATGAGAGACAAATTCTTACACAGAGGGTGGTTCATGTGTTGAATGAACTACCTGGGGAAGTGGTGGATGCGGGTATAATTAGAACATTTAAGAGACATTTGGATAAGTACATGAATAGGAAAGGTTTGGAGGGATATAGACCAGGAGCAGGCGGGTGAGACTAGTTTAGTTTGGGATTATGTTCGGCATTGACTGGTTGTACTGAAGAGTATGTTTCCGTGCTATATGATGCTATGACTCTATGACTCTATAATAAATTTCTCTTTTATTGTTAATGTCAAACCTGCAGAATTGTGAGTTTGTGGTTCAGTGAAAGACCATCCCGTTAAAAGCAATAACAAATATTTCAAGTCAGGTTTCAATCTGGGAATTCACTTTTGCAGTAATAACATCAGCTGGATCATAAAAATATCATTTTTTTTGTACTCGGGCAAAAGGAAATCTCACATCAATATTTTAATGAATATTTACCTGAATGAAGTTGAAATCCAAATTAGTTTCTTTTTCAATACTTGGTATGTTAAAATCTCAATTTTCTCACATTCTTCAGGCACCTATTTGTAATTTGCAAACATTTAATCCTGTTTTACTGCTGTTTCATTGCCCAGTTCTCCAAAGCTAGTATCATGTGTATGAAACATTTATAGAAATACATTGAATTGAAGGTCATCGTAAAATCTCCCAAGAGGCTTGAGCCTAGAGTTTACTTTCTTCTGCACAACCCAGACTTTGGCCCAGCAATTATGTGCCATGTTGCATTAACCTTTCTGTCCTCTGTCCTCCCAATCACATGACAGCATGCTGAAACTTAAAGTTGGTATAAATCAATGTGAACAATTAGTACCCAAGGAAGTACCATACGCACACTAGTGTATTTCCTCTGTCAGCATTAAAATTTAATTTTCAACTCCATTTAACTATCATTTATGCACATCTGGCACATTTAAGAGAAGAGCAAAATACTTTGGTTGCTATCTAAAATTTTTTAAAAAACAGAAAATTATGCAGAAGCTCAGCAGGTCTGGTGTTTTCTGTTGAGAGAGAGAAATAGAGTTAATGTTTTGAGTTGAATGTGAATCTTCTTTGGAATTGGCATGTTTACGAGCCTGCAATTTTCAAAGGCTTTTCAATTGTTAATGTGGCTTTCCATTATGCCATACAAATGTATTATAAATGCAAAGAGCTGAGTAAGATACAGACTAATGTGTTTAGTGCTCAAATTTACAACTAAAATACCAGAAAAAATGACATAGATTTTCGCACACAGCATAAAACAGATTAATGCTGAAGATTTCCTCAAATCCCAACCTTGCTCACGCAAATACAGTTAAAAGATATTCATCTGAGTCTTAGGCATGGTCAGTTGTATTCATTTGGTAGAGAGCATTTGATGCACAGACTTGAAAGATGAAGCTGACTTGGCATATTGTAGCAGCATATAATTCAAGGCAGTCAACATTTTTGGCTTCATAATTTGTTTGCACCCAGATGGGGAAATGCAGATGAATGCACAGTCATAATATTAACAATTCAGTTGGTCCTTATGGAGATCGTGAGATATTTTTCCATAATCGTGAAATAAAATTGATTCAAATGGACATTTGTCATTTCAAATCAGTTTTAGGAAGGCTTTATCTGAATAACGATCTGAGATAGACTCTGCAACTACTAATTTGCTGAACAAATATGTATGGTTTCTAATAGATGACAA